CTCACTCACTCACTCACTCACTCACACACACACACACACACACACACACACACACACACACACACACACACACACACACACACACACACACACACACACACACACACACACACACACACACACACACACACACACAGGTCTTAAGTTAACAAAACCACCAAGAAAAAATAATCAGATTTTTTAACCTTAAAAATAGAGTCCAATTTAAAAATACAAATGTAAAACCACATTAAAAATTTATATTCATTCAGACTTGCCTTTTCTCCAAATATTTTGAGTGGGTATCTAAAGGTGAAATTGTGTATGTATACATCCAGTCCCAGGTCCATAAACTGGTTATATATCCACTTCACTGGCATGATGCTAAAGAACAGGGCACATTTCAGTAGGATCAGTTTAAAACTAGGACAGCACTCAGAGAGCACATACATCTACCAAAAATAAATAATTAACTAATCATCAACCATTAATTAATTAATTCATGGATCATCACCATAATCTATCACTTTTAAGTTAATCTATTTTATGGAAAATTTCATCACAATCCATTTATAGCTTTCTGAGTTAAGCTGGTAAAAAACAAACAAACAAGCAAACAAACAGAGGTGAAACATCTTTCCTTACCCTTACTAAACCCTACTCCGAAATCTTGAGTAAATAAATGTGCTTTTATTTTCAGTGATTATAACTTTATATTGGTGGCAAATGGATAACACAGTACACAGAGTGCATATTACAAATATCATATGCAAATAAGACCCCATTCCCACAGATTTTAGATCGATCTATACCTGTGGGGAGTTTCACTAGATTACTGTCAGCTTAGCTGGCTAAAGCGTCTGTCCCGCCTACTAAAAGCTGTAAGGGAATAATTAACTGTCGTGCACCCATGGCTGACTGCAATTTAGCGTGAACCCCCAGGGAGTTAGGTCGATCCAGATTGATCGATCTAAATCTCTGGGAATGCACTCTAAGACACTTACTTTTTATCTTTATTCAATTCACTTTTTAGCTGACTATAATATCCCTCTGCTTCTGAATCTCCATAAAATTGGCTCCTCACTAAACCTAAAATAAAACAATTCACCCAAGTCTAATTTTCATTTAATATGTAGATGTTAGTGTCTCTAAGCACAACCATAGTTAGGCTACTGGAACCTTTTTTACTTTGCTTAAAATGAAACTGTATGCACCTGAAAATTCATAAGCCCCTAACTGCTAGAGGAGGCGTGTCATTCATTTAATTGCATACAGCAAGAGACCCCACAGGATTGGATTGATCTACTTAAAACAATTATTTTACTGGGAACACACCCTAACTGTCTTATTCTTACCAGGAAGGAGAGCATTTTCTGAGAAATAGGTCCCTGCATTTAATTCTTGGTATGCCAAAGCCAGGAACCATGATAACCCGACTACATAACATAAGAAGCATATTTTGTTGTTGTGTCTGGTTATGCTGCCCACAATGGTGGCCCTGGAAGTTGGGTTTGTTAGCAAACCCATGTCACTTGTTAACACAGTATGGCACCAGTAGTATTGACACCATTCTGAAAAAAATGTAGCATTACTAACACTATGAACAAAAAATTAAAAACACGTTTTTTTTTTCTATTTTTAATGTGAAGAATGGACCGCATGCTTGCCAGGGACTCTCTTGCTCTATGAGTTTGAAAACATGCAGGTTGAGTACGTGTATAAGTACTGTAAGGAATATCTGAATATTCATTACTGCAACTCGAGCTTTTTGCAATTCCACAGGCTCCGTCTCACTCTGAACCAGTTACTGTCAAAATATTACATAAAATAATATCACGTGCAGTTGACAAACTCATGGCATCAGGGACAGGGACAATGGCCCTGTGCGGGTAGATCTAGAAATCACGCAAACACAAATCGAATTACCTTTGTTAACCGATATAGGGGCGAGTTGATTCAAAGGAAACTCATGCAAACCGGAAATGAAAGACCGGATGCGTGAGTTCAAATGCGCATTGGGATATTACCTCATACCTCTTAAAATATAATCCAAATTTTCAATTTTCTGGTTAAAAATACTATAATATTCACTAAATATATCAATAAAATATTCAATTGCTTTTGATTATCAAATTGATATTGATATTAGATACATTCAAAAACAAATTGAATGTAATTTATTGTCGGACATTAATAACTGCGGTAGCCACTGTTACAAAATGTCTGCCCTACTGGCAAAAGCGTCGAGACAGGGCTTTTTACAAGCCAAAACATCAATAAGTTCGCAGGGGGTAAGTCTAAGCGAAAAGCTCTTTTACTGCAAATTGTTGTCATTTTAATCTTACTACAGTCATAGATGAATCGTGCTCTTCAACAGCTCAAAAATCTAACCACCTACCCACGTCACGTAGTCCACCTAAATGTTGCAGATCGAGATGCATACTTTGAATAAGCAGTTCCAAGCACCAAGGACGTGTATTGAATATATTAAATATACGTCCTTGCACGCACTGACTGTGAACGTTTGGCGAACGTTCGATTCTTGAATTTGTGTCTGCCGAAAAAGCAGTCGTCAACAATCCATTTACGGGCTAAATTAATGCTTGTTCTTACGCATTTTCTCCCCCCCCCCCACCCCCACCCATCGAATTTTGTGCCTCAGCACGTACATGGTAAAAGTCTACATGAGCTAAACCATGAAAGATGTATGTGCGATCATGTGATATATGTGAAATCATTGTCAACTAGTGTGTAAGGTTTTAAAGTTAACTTAAAAGCTCTGACCATTGACATCAGTCATTCTGTAATGACAATTTGGTAATTGACATTGTTGACCTAACTCCGCAAATTATTATGATTTGTTTCTGTATTATCAGATCATATGCCATGTTTCAACTCTAGAAAAGTTAGTAACTAATAGTTCTTCTTGAGTTGGAATGTGATAAAAGGTTTTAATACATTAGACATCTTAATGATTTGTAAAATTACATCATCACTATCAGTTACCCGATACTTCTTTGCTAATGTAAATGTCTTGAGTGCATTATATGTATTCTGTTGTCAGTATAGTATATTAAGGTATTATATTTTATGAATCTATTCTAATGTTTTTGTACATATTTTATAAAACAGTTTTATTTGCTTTTCAGGCATGTATATCAACTGGCAGAAGGTTTTCTAGGAAGAAGATTGTAAGTGCTAACAAATCCTACTTGAAATATAGTCTGGATCAGGAAATCACTATTTTCAACAAATTTCTAAAGACTTTAACAATGGGGTACATTGTATAAGTTATCCCCATTTTGTAAGAGTACTTGTGACGTTTGATCTATTCTTTTGAAATAAATAACCTTTAAATCTGCATATTTTAAATATTGAAAAATTAAATGAAAAAAGTTGTTCTTTGTAATAACATTGTTTTTCTTCTGTCTTAACAGAGAAGTTTAGTTGGCTGTTAGTGTTTAACTGTTTGAATCTTGGATGAATGCACAGTAGTTCACTAAAATACAGTAACCAAGGATTTCCCCAGAGAGCTTTCAAGTTGTCATTTGGAGGGGCACTGGCCTCAAAAGAGAGCCTATATTTTCAAAGACAGCTGTACATAATTTATGATATTTTGGAGACTGACAGTATATTTGTAGTTGGACTCCCTGTAAATTGGTGACCAAATTGCAGATTATAATTTTGGACTCCCCTGTACCCCAAATCCTGGGGAAACCCCTAACATTAACTACTTGTCAACAACATTGGCCATTTTGTACTAGTTGTGATAAAGGACCATTGCCGATTTATCATCCTTGGTCAGGGAAGATGTCAGTTTCTCTCTTAATAAGCAACGACAAACTTTCAGCTTTATTTTTTTCATGAAACCACACGTTACCAGTCCCTGTTAACATTGACTATAACTATTTCCAGGCATTGGCAGTAGCTGGTGGGGTGTTAGGGGTTGGCTCAGTAGGAGTTGGTATGGCCCTTCTCAGACCTGCTAATGCGCAAGAGCTGATCCTTCATCCTCCCCATTACCGCTGGGACTTCAAGGGTTATTTTGCTGCATATGATAAAGCCAGGTAAGATTAAGAGTTCTCCAACTAGATAATGCGTTATAAATTATTTTTATTTATTTATTTCATTTCTTTTTTTTTTCCCCTGACTAGTGTTTAAAAAAAAAAAAGGCTGACCAAGTGCCACAAAGTTTCTTTTGGTATAACTTAGAGAATTACCAAAGGATATTGTTTCATTTATCTTAAAAGTTATTTGAATGGGTATTTTCTGCTTACTTTCTGTGCTGTATTATATATAACTGGGGCAGTTAGCTAGGTTGATTTCAACCAAAAATTTGTAGAAGGTGCTGTTTTAAAGCTCTTTTACGGCAGAACGAGTGATTAGTTGGGTATGTCCCTTGGCGTGTCGGCTTTATTTGAGTGGTATATAAGAAACTGATAGAAGTGGTTCGATGAGTTACTGGAAATCCACGCTTAGATCTAGTGTGTCTATGACCCCATTTCCAGAGATTAGATCAATCTACTTTAGATCGACCTAACTCCCTGGGGGTTCACGCTAAATAGCTGTCAGCCGAGCGGACACGAAAGTTTATTACCCCCTTACAGCTTGTAGTAGGTGGGACGGATATTTAAGCCGGATTATCTGACAGTAATCTAGTGAGACTCCCTGCGGGGATAGATCGATCTAAAAGCTCTGGGAATACAGCCTAATGATGTTAGAGGTTGTTAAACAGGACAAAGGCATATGTATACTTTCACTTTGAGTGGATTTTCTTAATGATTTAGTGAAAGGTATGCTAGCATGCTTTACTATAATAGTATCAAATGATTTTCAAGCCTATACTGGTAGAGAGGCATCACTAGGCATTTGATACAGAACAATTAATTGAAAATGAATACATTATTTTCTAAAGTAAATTTGACCTCAATTCATCCAATAAAAATGATTATAAAGTTCTCGATAGTGTTTTTCACCAGACACATTTTATTACCAGCAGGCCTTAATGAATTTTGAAATGAAAAAATATACTTAAAGAATTGTGTGTACATTTTGTGAGCAGTTACAATAATTCTTACCTCCAGTGTACGGAGAGGCTACCAGGTCTACAAGCAAGTGTGTGCCGCGTGTCACACCATGGAAGCTTTGTGCTACCGCCATCTTGTGGACGTGTGTTACTCAGAGAGGGAAGCAAAGAGAGAAGCTGAAGAGGTATAGAGAAAAAAAAAAAGATAGAAATCGTATGTTTTAATGAAAACTTTTCTACTTCCTTTCTTTCTGATAATCTTTTCTGTGTGTTGTTGTTCCATGTTCTTTGTTACTGTTGTTTACTTATTATTATGTCTATGAAGTTGTTTGAAATCCAAATCCCTCAGTTGAATTAGTGGGGTCTTCTGTTCATTCTATTTTCAGGCTATGGTATGGGATGGACCAAATGATGCAGGGCAGATGTTTCAGAGACCTGGAAAACTCTCTGATCCTTTCCCTAAGCCTTATGATAATGTAGAAGCAGCAAAGGCAGCCAACAATGGAGCCTATCCACCAGATCTTGGTCATGTTGTCCTAGCAAGAGAAGAAGCAGAGGTACGGAGTTTATAGGACACAGTTGTTTTCAAAGAAAATGGTCAGATTTAGGATAACAAAACACAAGGCTCATGGGGTTCCTTTTAATCTTAACCTTTTCCAAGTGTAGTAGTTAAACCTGTTTGTAACTGGGGTTTGTATTGTCCTCGTTATTCAAATTATAGATGACCCAGCTTGTAACTCGTTCAAATCCAGTATTGATACATTGGCATTTCCAAGGAAAAGGAGATCATGTCAGGTACAAATGTTTTGTGCAACCTGCCCGGGGTAGCGCTAGCAATTTTTTTCCCTTAGCCAAATCACCACTTTTTTTTTGTCAATTTGTTATCCAAATGGTTCTTATCTGACTAAAATTAGTCAAATCAAGCCCTTTTTGTTTAGCCAATTTAAGTCAGTTTTAGCATTTGGCTAAGTTGGCAAGTGTTAGCCTGCATTAAACAAATAAACTGCACATTTTCTTAACTTTCAACTCTTATTTTTACAAATTTTTACTGCCAATACACTGGCATGCTCTCCAGCCTGAATATTACTCAATTAATTTAAGTTAATAATGAAGAATTGTATATTCCATTGTTCTTTGTAGAGCTACATCTTCGCCCTGCTGACTGGATACTGTGATCCTCCTGCTGGTTATGAATTAGCTGATGGCATGGCTTACAACCCGTATTTCGCTGGGGGCGCTATAAGCATGGCACAAGCACTTTACAATGAAATCATAGAGTATGAAGATGGTAAGAAAACTAACTCTCTCTCTCTCTCTCTCTCTCTCTCTCTCTCTCTCTCTCTCTCATATGACAAACTAAGCCAAATGTTGACTTGTACATTTATTTAGTTCAACATATTTGAAACAGTGAGAATTTTCACATGCAAAATGCTATGTACCATTTTACAATGAGTGCCCAACACCTTATCTGTTTTCAGACCTTGTGATTTCAAATCATTTGTATAACAGATGGGTATTTGGATACTGCTTATCAGAATTTTCAAAATTTTACGTTACAGTAATGAGTATTTCTGTCCTTGCTTCTCAGACGTGGGGCAAACTTGGGAGATCAGTTGTTGAAAGCTACAAGGAATCTGCAGGCACTCCACAAAAAGTATTTTATTTCTTTCAGTTTATGTGTGCTTATTATTACACACAGCATTTTGCACATTAACCATGCAGATCCTCTAGCATTTCAAGCGGTCATGATCAGTTGGACAGGCATTTTCCTCCTAGTCTGTTACTAGTGAAATGTTGATGTAATTGTTTTCAGGCACCCCTGCCACCCAGAGCCAGCTAGCCAAGGATGTAGTGACCTTCCTGTCTTGGGCCTCTGACCCAGATCTGGAGCAGCGTAAAAAATTTGGTATAAAGGTAGGTAATTGTCTCGAACTAGGTGAACCTACTTGTCACACCTTGTAAAAGTGGAAGGTGTGTTCCTCCAAGTGCTTTTTAATTGGGGAATGGGGGTGGGGCATCACCTGTGTCTGTCATCATCGTCGATTCTGTGGATGCCCTGTTATACAAATTAAATGAAAACCTTCTGTGGATGCTCTGTTTTACACGTTAAATGAAAACTGCTTAAGTTCAACTGGTCAAGTTCAATAATCAGCCTGATCAGATCATTTTTCCAAAAGTTCTACTTTTTTTTTCCAGCATATTTTATCCACCTTTATGCAAGTTAAATGAAAAACATTTAACCTTTTGTCTTCAAGCGTAACCCCATAGGTACCGGTTAATGCTGACCCATAAACTTAAGCTGGACCCAATCTATTTTGTGAGCTAGCAATGAAAAGCTGTGTCACCTCAGTAAATTGGCCATAATTTATTTGTTTGCCTTTATTACCCATACAAAGTATACATTTTTAAAAAGCCAAGACTTCAAGCTTAATGAAAATGGAATTACATTTAAATTTTACATGCATTATCAAGAGCTATTGTGGCCTTATGTCCCACACGGGACGAGGAGGAATGATGATGATGATGATCAAGAGTTATGCCCAGTTAAAAACTACATTATTATTAGGTTATGAACGAAAAAAACAACAGATCAGTTTGTCAGATTCGGTCCCTCACTGTGTTTTAGTATCTTCAAATGGAGAAAATTGGACAATAAAAATTGTTTAAAAATTTGTTATAAAAATTGTTATAAAAATTGTTTGATATTTTTCTGATCTCCTCAATTTTGTAAGTAAATAGTAAATTGGTTATTTTGTATTACGTAAAAAGTGTTGAAAATGGACCTTTTTTCCTGTTCTTGTCTGTACATTTGACATCTTTGCCGACTTGTTATTTAATGATAGTCACTGTGGTACAATTTTATCTGCAAAAAAAAAAAAAAAAGAAAAAATAAACATATTTGCTGTGAAAATAACTTCTTTGCCTACAGTGTATTGTGTAGAAATGAAAGTAATGTTTGATATGAACTGTGTGTCTTTTCAATCTCAAAGTCTTGTGTACAAAAGGGCCCTGGGCAAGCATATGATATGGCACAGGTGATGAGTAGTGAAGGCCGTGGTTTTACTGTACATTATGTAATCCTCTATGCACTTTAAAATAAGGGCACTCATTAGCTCAGCACATGGGCCATACATGTTGTTTATGGGCACGTTTTGGAAGAAGAAAGTTGAGACCTATATTTACTCCTTGAATGATATTATTTTGAGTTTACTTCTTGTTGTAGCATACAAAAAATGTCAAGACTTACCTACTGCACGAAAGATAATTTTTTTTAGAGGTGGATTTTGTTTAAGAAATACTGGTACTAACATTTTTCATGCTTCTTATGTATCTTTGAACATGTAATATTGTAATCAAACCTTGTATTTCTTTTCTATTTAGGCTGGGGTAGTCCTATTCCTGATGACACCTGTAGCCTTTTACTACAAGCGTTTCAAGTTTCACACCCTGTACACACAGCAAATTTTCTGGAAAAAGGGGAAGTAACATCAGTGAACTTAGGCAAAATAATTTAGGGGTGAAAATATGCTTTACAAATTTCAAAACAAACGAGACATGGTAAAGCCTTTCTTTGGGACTGGTCAGACACAGATCATTTGGATGCTAGAAATAAAATCAACAGAGATACTGGCTTGAATTTGAGCCTTGGAATATGGCATGTGTACATAATGTAATTACTGACTGGACGGCATCAGGTATTAAGTCTTATAAAAGGAAATGCAAGTTGGATCAGAATTTGGCTGGTTTTAAAACAACTCTTGTCGGATAATCCTCTGCATTTACTTAATGTGTAGTGATATTTATTTTCAAACTGGTACGGAGGTCTTTCTCATGGACAACAATGGGCCAAAACAAATTAAAAATGTTGTTTTTCTAGACGCATTGATTTTTAGAATGATTGTTAAGAGTGAAGTGATGTACCTGTTAAAACCACATTAATAGTTCTACGAGAAATGTCTTATATTTGCCGTGTTGTATGAAAGATCTTGTTCAGAGAAGTCGGAACCAAACCGGAGTGTCAATAAATGCATCTTCTTTTACCTTCTTTTTTTGCTTATTTTTTAAGTATACAGTTCAAATGAGTATTCCAAAATCGCACTTCTATTGGTAACTAACTTGACAAATACTTTGGGCTCGCGTAGCTTAAATGTTTTCAGAAAGTGAAAGTAGAAATAAATCCCAGCTGGTGATGCATGGTCGTATAGTGAAGTGCGATACTCTGTGAAGAATAAGTGTGACAGGAATTGTGGTCCTAAGAATGGACATCCGCCCCCTTCCCCATTATTACTACAGATTAGTCTGAGGATTGGGGTTAGCATGTGGGGCGAATGTCACCTGTACAAAATAATCGGGAACGGACTTCGGCTCCTAGTGGACTGCCATTCCTGTCACGCCGTTGTTGCAAGATTGAATTACACCTGAATTGTTTTATGGGGGGATACAAGCCAAGACTGACCAATGCGGTCCATGTGAACAGTACGTCATGTGCGTGTGGTCCGCTCCAGTCAGTCTCCTTCCACTTAAACGTGCGCTTGAAGGGGAATCAATCCCAAGTTCGTATATCTGGGAGTTGCTTGTCTTGATTTATTAGATTGATATTTTACGTAAGATTTCAAATTTATGTATTTTTCTTTGTTTCTGGAGAGAATGACGCATTAACAGTAAACTGCTTGGCAGTGAAAGTGGCTTTGATGTCTGCGTTTGGCACAAACTGGCGCGCGTGGCCATTGTTTGATATATCAAATGTAACCGTTATTTACGCTAGGAGTAATGGCCATTTGGCGTCATTTTTTATATAAGATATGAGTCCTAGCCTAGGTTGGGGCACTAGAGGTTGGAATAAATTAAAATGAACAACAGGTGATTTGTACATTAATTGACAGATTTGCTTTTCTCGGGGTGTTTATGTTTATTTTGTTTTGAATAAAATCGAAACAGACCAAGATCTGGTTTAAAGAGTCGGGTAACTTGCGATCCGCTGAAATATCTGTTGGGACGAGTTCATTCTAGGCAAAACTTCGTTCAATAAGAAAATTCATCTAGAGCGATGCAAAAGTTAACCATTATCATCTGGGCGGCTCTCTTGCTGTGTATCGTTTCACGGACTCATGGTTTTTGCTTCTTGTTACAAAACCGGAACACTCTAGGAAAGATCGCAGGTACGTCTGTTTAGGTTCGCCATGAACATATATCTGCTTCTCAACTTTTCAAAAGTTAAAACAGCTGATGTATTGAGAGCAGTTACGTTTTCTCTATTCGTATATGTGCAGTATTTTAAAAATGTTTAAAATACTGTGAGCTAAACATTACATCCTCAACTATGTCAAATTCTTTAACTTGTTGCATGTTACAGCATTGATATTCTTATCTGCGCCGATATGTCAGTGTCGAAACTTCGTTTATGTGAAATATTTTAAGAAAAAAGCAAAATAAGTACAATTTTAGCCAAAAAATTAACGCGTTATTCCCAACGCACGGGCATTTCAATCCGAGATATTCCTTACTTATCATCCTTTATTTTTCTCCGTTCTTTTCAGTCACGTGCAGGTTGCCAAGGACGCTGTTCCTTCTCGGAGAAACCAAACGACTGAAGCACGACGCGTGCGCCATGTGCACGTGCAAGAGAAACGGGTTGTACTGTTGTAGGTGGGTTAATTTTCCTTTAAATATCATGCACGCACTAATCCGCCTGCGCGCGTGGAGGCACCCACGTGTGAATGTCTGCAGTAACATGCGAGCGCGGTTGAGCGAGTGCGAGTGTGTTGTAGCGTGCGCATGGATGCGTATGCTCTTGTTAATTAATAGATGTCATGTCAGCACATGTAAAGATGTTGCATACGTATATGTTTATATGAGGGAGTACGAAAAGATTCGAATACATTTTAAGTGTATCTATTTATTATCTTTCAGCACGCGGGGTCCGCTCCCACGCAATGTGCCTTCTGACTGTAAAGTGGTGCCGGCCCCAAACTGTGACTACAACGTGGTGAAAACTAAAGACGAAAGCAAGGATTGTTATACTGGGCGTCTTTTAGTGACAAAATATCGACATTTCTAGCTCTAACAATGCCTGAGTAGGGTTTGCACTTGAGAGCAAGACTGGTTTTCCAGAGAGTACACGTGCGATCGCATTTGTTGATTTACTGGAGCAATTAATCAAAACAAGGGGTGCATTTATACTAAATGAGTCTGGGTAAACAACATTTTACCACAAAAATTACGTCATAGAATAATTAATTTGCTTTTCCTTACCCTGAAAATTATACATCATGGAATAATTTGTTATTTGTTTTTAATCTCCTTAACACAAATGGAAACTTAATTTTCATTGGAGCATTGAAGCATTAAAGAGATAATAATTTTTGATTACTTTGATTTGCAAACCTCAACACTGGTTCGGTTCCCTTGTAGACCCCCCCCCCCCCCCCCCCGTAAAAAAAGGAAGCTACTCCTGGAGTCTCCCTGTACTGCTGGTGACATCCTTAGCAAAGCGCAAGCGTACTTCAAGTTAGTAGTAGACACACAGTTAGGATTCCTATTACTGTTCACTGGATGATGATTTAAAGGGTTTTAATATGCTAAGCTGAACTGTATTGGATGAAAATGGCATTTTTAGGCTACTATGCAATATTTCAGGACTTAATGCGGTATGCACAATGAAAAGTCATTGACTTATTTTTCATATTTTCATGGTGTCATTAAAATTCAGGCAATTCGATTTCATTATTCATTTTTGATTTAATATTCGTAACAGAATGATGTATAAAATAGTACATTGTATCGAATAAAACATCTAGGTATTATATCTTTCTTGTAATTTATCTTCCTCCTTATATATTCAAAAAATATTCTCTTATATATATATATATATATATATATATATATATATATATATATATATATATATATATATATATATATATATGAAACAATTTCCACAAAAGGGAGTTCACTGGAAATAATTAGTGAGATATTAAAAGGATAACAACTTCATTTTGACCAAAAAAATGAAATTATCTGGGGTAATCGACAACTTTCCCACCAATGGTTAATGAATCCAGTTCTACATTCAAAGTTAGTCCTTGTTTTATTTTCTGAAAAGATTGTTTTTTGTTACAGAGAATAGACATCTATGGAGGACACGTGGTCCGATGATAAGCACAGATTTCAGAATAAAACAATAACTGCCGTTTTTGTGGTAAAATAGAATATATTATATTTATATGAGCTGAGTTGTTATCCCTTTAATTTAGGGCATGACTACTCAACAGGTCAGACAACTTTTGTAATTTCCGTTTTGTAAACTGTGGAACGGCAATGAGCTATAACGGTAATTATGGTAGATCGCGTTTAATTTCGTCCGGTTGAGCCGCCATTCTGGCGTATATAGGCGCTGTTCAGAAAACCCGCCCGCGCAGTTCTTGCAGCCAACGACTGATCCACACCAAGATGTCTGTTAAGTCGGTCAGTTTTATTTTCCTTTTCTCTGCCCTCTGTTGTGTTGTGCATGGTCGTAGGAGATATTTCCCCGGTTACATGTGCGAGGCTACCTCACCCGGAGATATCAACAATAGTAAGAATTTCTCAAAATGGAAGCGAATGGAACCGTTTTTTCCTCTTTTGAAAGGCACGAAAATTATGAGGAAAAACAACGCAGAACATTGTCCTTGCCTTTTAATATTAGGGAAACCGCTTTAAGACAAATAGCCCTTCTCAAGTCGTAATTAACGGTTCAGTTCAAGCTTGCAGTCCAGAACAATTCAATTCGTGTGTTAACTGTTAAACCGTTAAAAAAGTGAGGGTACAATAACATAAATATTCGTACTATTTGAAGTATTTTCTCACTTTTTTTGTTTCGCGACTTTTTAGGACATTCTATTATCTGAACTTTTTCCACTGAAAATTGAAACGATTTTTTTCAACTGGAGATTTCTGTACCATTTTTTGTGTATAGGACGCAATGGTCTCCCGGAAACTTTCTGCAGAGAGAATGGGATGTTAATGCGCCGAAACAGCGTCTGGTACACACAAGACTGTAAGAAGTGCGAGTGCGGGGAAAACTTTGCAAGTTATACCCAAGGCTGCTGTGGGTAAGTCCCAGAAGAGGGCAATAATGGGTCAAAATTTAGTAATCGTAAAGAACTGCAAGTGGAAAACAGAGTATTCTACTTGCTCTTTTTTGAGATTGTAGGCTAAAAGAGATTATTTCTAAAATCCATCTGTTTGCCTCATTTTTATGGCGAGTAGGCATATGCTCTTAACAACGAAGAGCCATTTGTCTTGTGCACTAAAGTACAAATGCAATATATTATATACGTTTTCAATGAGACTGAAAACATGCGTTATGCTTAGCGTCACACTTTATTTTTAAGGTTTGGGTACAGTGAGCCAGGGTCTAGAGGGTGGGGCCGGCCCGCCCCGGACGCCCCTGCAGGTTGCACGACTATCTATCTCAACTGTGACTATTACCACGTTAAAAAGGGGTCAGCTGGCGATTACTTGGACTGCGAAACAGGAGACCCTGTCGATTTTACAAAACCGATTCACGATGAAGTTTTGAATCCTTAGAAATGGAGCATTTGTAAAAGAAAAGACTGTGTGACAGTAGTTTACTTATTATTCTCTTTATAGTCACATGAACGTATTCTGGAAATAAAGTTACTTTTAATCTTTATAACGAGAAACCTGTGTCTATCTTATTACAATTTGCTTGGAAAACAAAACTACCCCCCCCCCCCCTTCTCTCTCTCTCTCTCTCTCTCTCTCTCTCTCTCTCTCTCTCTCATACCTTGAGAAAACACAGGTGTAAACAAGCAGATAATCGTGACGGACAAAGCACCATCGTGGCGTACATCACACCACGTGACAGTGAACCACAGACGTCTCGACTGAACGACTGCAATTCTGTTTTTACTTCTTGATTAACTGCGCAGCGAAAGTCAACATGAACTCCACGTTTTGTTTACTGGCGGGAACAATTTTGGCGATATTGACGTACTATGGCGCTCAGGGATACTGCATGGCAGGCATGTCGAAGCAAGAGGTCAAAGGTACTAAGCAGGAGGTATTCTCTGTGGGCATACATATATAAACGTCGGATACATTTTATCATCAAAATACATGTTCGAATAAAGTCCATGACTAGGACAATCTAGATGGTAATATAAGGCCAAAAAATAAGTTTTAGGTGTTTCTGCATCGGTAAATATACCAGTAAATAATATGATTTTATCTTGTAAAGGCGCTCAGAAGCCGGGACAGATCAGGCTTGAAAAGTTTGCAAGTTATTGATAATTTGATTATAGATGCACATATATATTTGGTTTACTGAAAGCTACCTAGAGCAACAGGGGATAGGGGAGACCGGGGCTAGTTGGACCCCGGGGTAAGTTGGCCCCCCATCAATTTATGACAAAGTAACTATGGGGTAAAAAAAATTGATCACATCATTTTGTAAAGTGACCGTATCCAGTAGTGCTAAGAAAGCGTCGGCAGTGAGTCCAAATGAAATAATTTAGCATCTTAAAGTAACTTTATTAAAGAGACTTGATGGGGGGCCAACTTACCCTGGGGTCCAACTAGCCCCGGTCTCCCCTACTGGAAACTCACTTCTCAGCTATCATACTGGACACGCCAGTGGCATATTGGCGGCAAAAAGGTGAGTTTCTAATCACCGCTGAAACTCAGTGTGTTACTGGAAACGGCAAAAACATGCTGATTGTACAAGTAGTAGAGAAGTGAGTTTCCAGTGACCCCAAAAATTCACGGTGGCTTAAGCCATCTCAACCAATAGTTATGATGGTGATAACACACGTTAAAAAGAAAAACGAAAAACGAGAACAATATGATTACCATGGTGTCGAACATACTCATGCTTTTGCAGCAACCGATGACGGAAAACTGGATGTAGTGACCTATTGCGAATACAAAGGAATCAGGATAGAAGTCAACGCTACCAAAGAAACAGATGACTGTTTTCGTTGCACTTGTAGTGAGAGATATATGTCCTGCTGCGGGTAAGCAATAATTGGTTATATATTTTTTATGTACAGACACAGTGTGTATGTATATATCACCATCACCCCGATTCACCCGTGTCTGTCGCCGTCTGCACCGTCGCTGTGCACAAATCACGTTAACGCCATTTATGGAAAATCGTGAGAATTATTATCTTCATACTTACTGGGGTGATTTATTGCACTAAAATACAGGTCAAGTTCTAATGACATTGTGTCTGTACCTTTAAAAGTTTTGCTGCCTTGTTCTATTTTTTTACGTTGTTTAACATCTAATTTGACCTGTAAACACACAGCTAAAGCCAGACAAGTTCTAAGATGAATTTTGGAATTAGTATAATTTAAAGCAAAATGCTTTTAATTCGACCGGTACTTTTGTTTTAATCTACTGTATTATCAAAAATGAGAAAGTTTGCTACTGCCATAGTTATTTAAAGCATGTTAAATGAGGCATGGGTGTTGATAGATGTATAAGGGACATTTTTTCTTTTATTCAGAAAAATTTTATTTTAATTTCATTTTAATAAAGTCCCTAATACTTAATTATCGCTCACCAACATCGAGTTCTAAATATTACTATCTGCACATATAATACTTTTAAAGAACCTCCTCTTTTAGCCGGTCAGAGACAAGACAATGTCATGTGTATACCTACCTTCTTCTCGGCAAATGAGGCTATGTAAATGGGCAATTATTTCATAATTCAAACGTAAATGCAGGGTATTCATGAGGGACAAGCCGTCTCTATGACTTTATTTTATAATATGTAGCACATTTGTGATTCAAATTATTGTACAAACAAAGGACCTAACTCATTCTAAATGGCCCCTATAATGCAAACTATTAAACGTTCAGGCCAAGCATGGACCCAGGGAGTGTTATACCTGGGATAACATCAACAGAAAATACTTAGGACAACAATGAGTCTACGGGACCATTCCCACAGATATTTGGATCGATCTATCTCCCTGGGGAGTCTCACTAAATTGCTGTCAGCTTAACCGGCTTAAATGTCTGTCACGCCTACTAAAAGCTTTTAGGGGGTAATTGACATTCGGCGCGTTCGGCTCCCTCTTGAGCTGATAGCAATTTAGCGTGAACCCCCAGGGAGATAGGTCGATCCAGGTGGATCGATCTAAGTATGGGAACCCAGTCTACGGTTCTGCCAGTGTCTAGATCTATATATTTTCTCTCCTAGCTATGGTATACATGCTGGGGTGATAATGCCTGCTGCCGGCTGTAAGATTGTCACCGGTGCTGACGGATGCAAGCCTCTACACGTCAAAGTCGACGACGAGACCAAGGACTGCTTCAGTGGGGAGAGTGTGATTGGGAAATAAACAGCTGACAGAAAAGATTTGGCCTACAAGATAACATGCACAAGAAAATAACTCAAGAATATCATTGTTGCAGGAAATAATTCAAGTTTGTGCTACAAGGATTTCCTTTTTGGTTAGTAAAGTTGCGTTTTCTGATTTTTGATTTTTTTTTCTTTGTCCGTATACGATCAAACATCTTACGCGTAGTACCTCCATCAATTGAGCTTCAGATTCGATGCGTGCCGGCTTTATTTCCACGCACGCTTACAGGTACTTAAAAGCGTCAACCGCCACCAAAATTTTCACTCAAGTTCACTGCACAAATGCTTATTCTGTAATCTGCGCTTCCATACGATATATATAACGGCTGTAGCTCACACTTCTATAAGAAATAGCCCAAGGTCAAAACGGGATCGGCTAAAGTTGGTAGTCTTTGAATTGTGAATTTTAGCAGCTGTCGGTGTTAAGAAGCTGGGGGTCCGTGTAACAGAGATAGGTATACACAGATTCAGGTTTGACCGTAACGTCCGAGTTGAAATTAAGAAATTTGTTCCGTGTAGCAGAGAGTCCGCCCTCCATTAGATTCAGGCAGGTTAGGGTTAGCGTGACGTCAGTGGATCCAAAATGTAGGGCGGGGCCATTACCAGCACAGATCAATGGGAGCAGGACCGTGTATCACAGTAGACTCTCTAGTATATGACATCGTGTCAACAGGATCTCATTTTCCATATTTTAATTTCCCATGAATAATTTTTTTGATTTGAATCGGAAATGAAGCAGTTGATATGACGGCGTGTGAGTCAAGGTTATTAGGCCAGGCTTTAAAATGAACCACTTTCGGGAGTGGGCGCTTAATATTCAGCTTAAAAAAAACATCGACTTTAACTTTTTAACAAAATACGTTATGGTGCTTACTCATGGAAGTAGGCGCTTAAATGACCCTCCCCCCAAACACATACACTTTTCTCTATTTAATTTCACTATAGTCACTTATTGTGCGTGCTACTATACTCAAGAAAATACTGAGGGAATACTAAGCTTGGGATCTGCCACCAGGAAGTAATGGTTAAAACAAGACTTAACCAATGGGGACCAAAGCGCCTTTATCTGGGGGATTTATGCTGTAAATAAATAAATAAATAAATAAATAAATAAATAAATAAATAAATAAATAATACCACTTTAAGGCAGAGCAGTGCTGACTGTGTTTGGTAAGTACGAGAAGAGACCGTTGACTTCTACCAGATTATGCCGAGACATGTGACAATTTTAATTTTAATTATTAAAACAGACCTAAATTGGGGCCAGCTTGGTTGGTCCTGCATGTTAACATGTGACCGCGTCCAGTACCGTTTTAACTTCAAGTACTTTTGTTTCACGGTACGATTACAATTAAATAGTCGGTGAACGAGATATATACGCATATAAATTACGTCTGTAGTGAAAACAATGATGAATGCGGCTTGACCTGTTTGGCAAACTGCCAACAGTCTTGATTTAAAGCCGATTTGTTGTACCCCACTGTATTATATTCAGGGACGGATTGAGGCCGTCTTTTGAGTCTTCCAGAAGACGGTCAGATTATCAAATTTACATTGATGGGTATCTAATTTTTCTCTATCGGAAGACGGTCAAAAATGGAGGATGGTTCAACAAAGATAATTTGGAAGACTGACAGAAAATATCTCTGGATCCGCCCCTGATATTCGTACATGCAAACCCCTACTGCAACCCAATTGGACTGCAGTATTACAGCTGCCACAAAGATCTTGATGTATTTCATGCAGATTTTTGTGAATATAAAATTGCAGGTTTTTGCAAATGCCCGGCGTTCGTTGCTAGTTAAAACTCTAAATAAAGGGGGATTCCTTGGTCACTACTATGTTTTGTTTGTTCGTAGATGAGTTTAGCCAATTTGTGATGGAATGTATCAGAGAAGACAGGGAATAATATTACATTCTGAGTAGTCCGTTGATTGTGCAGAGCACCGCTAACACACTCAAAGCCAAACCAGTGGAACTTTATTACTTCATGTAGAAACTAAGTAAATTACTTACGGAATTTTTTATATTTTATGAAAAAGTATGAGTTAAGCTTTTTCTAGAGGAAGTACAGTACAAACTGATATTCTATATCTAATTTACCCGTGGGCTTCAAATAATGTCGGTTGTTCTTATTTACAGTCATGCTTTCTTTTCAGCTTTATTTATTTATTTTTGGTTAACGCAGTTGTGATATAATGATTTTGGTTGAATGTTTATTTATCTATTTCCACTTATTACTCGAATTAGGTAAACCACTGAATTGTAGCAGTGTACTGGAAAATAAACTGTCGTCTCTTCGGAACTTGCACTAACATTTTATGCATTTGATGTCTTTAAACGATACATTCCTTCACGAATCAGAAAGTAAGCTAAATAACAGCAAATATTTTGATTTTGAATAGAAAAAAATACAAAAATCATTCCTGTGATGATTTGTGCACTATTTTATTTTATACATTCTTGCAATATGATTAGATGGTTTGTTAATACTGCTAGGGATCTATTCTTTTCCTTTTTATAATGTTCCTTATACACAACATCCTAAAATTCTCATCGAAAAGTTTTAAACCGGAGAACAGTGTATTCGCCACTGCGTCAGGTTGAGCCCACACCTGCGCATGCCCCATCTATCATATATCCGACTCTCCTCTTTACAAAGGGTTGTTTACAGGTTATAGTATTCAGGCTTATTTTTCTGAATATATACAATATGAAAAACTGTCAAATAATTTGAATAATGACCAACTGAGAGATATCGTCCTTCTGTTGAGCGTGAAGCAATAATGCGCCGATTTAGAAGGAAGTATTTTATCATCTCAGTTTTATCTATCTTGTATTTCGCCTGATAATTTTCGAGGATTATAGGTTTTCGGTAAGGCCCATGAATAAAGCAAGTTTCTTAAATATGTCATCGTTGGGGAAGAATTTATTTCAAGTCAACCAAGCGTGTTAAAACATTACAACATTGACTTTCTTGCCCCAGGCCTGTCACATTTCCACACTCCTGTTCCAGAAGAATATTGCGGATTAAACCCCAGTCCCTCAACAAAAGGTTAGACAAGGCTGATATCTAAAAACCAGATTTTCAAAATGCCCAAACTGCACCCGGTTTCCATCATTTCGCCGTAGGGGGATTTTGTGGCAGCCCTTTTTGACAATCTGGCCCTCCCCCCTCCTCCCCCACCTCCCCCCCTCCCCCCCCCCCAACAGCGAAGTAAGAAATTAATCTAGAGTTGAAAACATTGCGCTATTACCTTTAACGCATTCTATTTTGAATTTGAACAATATATTGAGCAGTTGTAAAAAAAAAGAAGGAGAGTAATTTGAAGAAAATCGCATACGTATGATGCTCCACGCGTAATTGACATGTGTAAGAATTTTGTATGCATTAAAATGTATGGTTTTCGGGAAGAATTTTCTTCAATACGGTAAGCAGCAGTTCCTTTTAATTATCAGCGGAACAAACATGAAGAAAAAAAAACACTGCATTGAAAACAAATGTTTATTTCATCAAAAGCATTGGTTACATGCCCATGGTATTGTGTTAGCATTTGGTGGTTACAAAACGTACAAATGATACTTTTCTTTCAGTCGCTAGGACCTCAGGCGTCTAGAAATATTAAATGCGAAAATGTCAAATTTTCGTGTCAACACTTAGTTGGTCTTTTTTTTCTGTTTTCCAGTCTTTTGTTCAAGTCTATGAACGTTATTTAAAGCTTATGAGGCGTCCACAAATGGATGATGATATCAATGACAGCATCATATTCATAAGATGCTATTTTTCCCCCAGTTGGGATTAAAGCGATACCTTTTGTGCGATTCTCTGGTTGAAGACAAACAGTGAAAGCTGAAATAAAAAACAAGCAAGACAAGCATTACCAAAAGTTGAAGTCAGTTGCACGCATTATTCAAATACGCATTATACAAACGTAAAATGGACGATTCTTCTATTTTGCAAAAGTGTTAAAATCTTTAGCTCACTTGAAACCTTTAATAAATAAATAAATAAATAAATGCATTTTCTAAGTGTTGAACATACACGCTTTCCTTAATTGCAAAATAATTCAGGGTTCATCGCGCATTTTTGTACCATCTAGGCACTACCAAATTGTATTTGTAATTGAGGAAGGAGTACTCTAGCTTATTTGCCTAATTATTTCACGCCTCGTGATTCTATACCCAATTAACAAACCGATATAGCGTGTGAAAAAGATACGCGTCGGTGGTCTGCATTTGGCTTTCAAATGTCCGTTTAGCATTTTTATCTCTGCATATAAACCACTATGTGCACCAGTGATTAAATTATGTGAGTAAATTGAAGTTAAAATCTTGATTTTACTGTTTCGTAAAATACGATTTTTATTGCTTTGTAAGAAAGAAAAGCCCGTCAGCAATGCAACTGATATTGATTTGCCCTTTTTGTTTATGCCTTAAATCATCGCAAGCAACGTTGTTTCAGTATATTGGTTCAAAGATTTTGCAAACGCCAACTTAATATGTCAAATTATCATCAGGATTATTCCTTTCAATGCAGATTGCAAATCCATCCTGTGAAGAATATAACCAGACAATTTTTGATGCTGATGCATGATGTTTCAAACAATGCCAGATTGCATTTTTTAAACATTGTAATGTGATCGAAAGGGAAAAGTGACTTAACGGATTTCAGACATATCGTAGTCACAGAGGTAAAGTTTGGTCTAAACAAAGCACGGAGCACCTAATAAAGGAAACCTACCTTTATTTAAACCTTTTTGGCAGTGCCAACAGTACCAAGGGTGCCGACAGAGCCATAACCGCCATTAACAACGCCTCCATATCCGCCATCAACCACTCCAACTGTGCCGTAGCCACCGGCGTTCTTCACAACGCCAGCGGTGCCATATCCGCCATCGACGTATCCACCGTTGATAACACCAGATGTGCCGTAGCCACCGTCGACGTAGCCTCCTGAGGAGCCGTAGCCAACGCCGAGGTCTTTAACGCCGCCAACACCGTAACCGACACCACCGTAACCGGCAGCGCCGTAACCAGCACCAAGGGTGCCGTAACCAGCTCCCAGACCGGCACCGTATCCGGCAGGTCCCAAACCAAAGCTCATTCTGTTGCCGATGAAACCTCTCATGAAGTCGAAACCGTTGCCGAAACCATATCCGCCGTAGCCAGTGCCGTATCCACCGCCATAACCGCCGAGTCCGCTGTAGCCGCCGCCGTAGCCGCCGCCGTAGCCGCCGCCGTAGCCGCCGTAGCCGCCGTAGCCGCCGCCGTAACCGCCGCCAACACCACCATACCCAGTGCCGTAGCCACCGCCATAACCGCCGTATGGACCAGCGCCAATAACGGTCTGTTGAAGATGGTATCCTCTGACAGGGACATTGACGGTGTTCTGAACGAGCCTGTGACCGTGAACTGGGACGACGTCCACCCTGGGGACGTACCTTACCACCTGCTTGTAGTTGACAGTCGGAACCTTCTTGGTGACAACAGCCTTCTTGTAGGTGACAAATGGCTTGACACTGGTTGACACCTTTGGCTTGGTGGGGGCAACAGGTTTTGTGACCACTGTGGCCGACGCCACCGTGGCCAAGGCCAATAGAGCGACTGCAACTTTCATGATGATGTCGAATGGTAAGTCAAATGTCCTCAGAGATGTCCAGAAACGACACTGGCCATCCAACCGATGCCCTGGTCATTTTATAGTTGGTAACCTACAATTAGCGGACGTACGTTTAAAACGGCATTTTCTCCACGGCTGCAATTATAGAGCTGATAGCAGGCTCAAGGTAACTGCTTTTTAAGGTGATGTTTGGCCATTCCATCCCTCGTCGACCGTTATCTGGAAGGCCTAGAGTGGACATTATCTTTGACTTTATCATTACTGTCAGTAAAATAAAGACCCAGGCATTCTCATTAAAGGTACGGAGGGCGTCAAGATTTTCACGGAGATATTCACCTAAATGTGGTTATTTGCAGGATGCCAAGAAGAAAATAGACCATTCTAGATTCCCTTATCTTTTTTTTTTTTAGAATATCACAAGCGGCCATTTCTCCAATTCAACAAGAGAACAGATATTCATATAACTAAGAAACCCCTTGAAGTGATTATGCGTCGATGTCTAATATTTTGTACTCTTTTACGAGAGATAATACAGCACCTGCACATTATTTCATTTAAGGATAGGGTTTATCATCTTTGAATTTATATCTAATTACATTTACGATACTCCTTCAACCCCTTGAAGGAGCGTGGTATAGGAAGAAGCGCTCTTTAGATCAGGTGATGTGTCATATGAACTGTCTGAACGGTACGACAGTGAGAGAGAGAGAGAGAGAGAGAGAGAGAGGATAAAATGTAAGAGGAAATGCGAGACAAAACAAACATATAAACATTTTTTTTTATTTTTGCTGATGGGGAGGAGTGGTCGATTTCTAAAATTGTTTTGTTTATTTCGTCAAAATAAAGAATGTTATCACAAATCCGCTTCATTCTTTTTATTAGAGAGACCTTCAATAAATGCCGTCGTCATCGGATTGATTTTGATTTTGTTTTATTCTTTTTAAAGGCACGCCTTATTATTTAAGTCGGTTTAGATCAAGGAGACATAAAGAATGTTATCCGCTAGCTTTCTTTTACATATGGGCACAAGCTCAAATGATAGAATGCGTTCCCCGGTATCATGCACGCCTACAGCGTCGACCGCGCCAGTATATCTCTCAGCACTTATATAGTTTATTGCCCTGGAAAATTGGCAAAGATATTATATGATAAGGATGAAAAACCTTTTATACGGAAGATGATCAAAGTCAATGAGACGCGATTGGAAGCCGTGTTACATGTATGTATATGGCCATTCACTTGAAGACAAACCCCAAATCATTAATTGCACCAGAAGTACAATTCCTCTTGCCAGCCTTATCTAACACCAGGGTTCTTGCTGCATGTTAGATAATGGTTTTGAGCACGTAGTAACGTCTAGAACCCCCTTTACACTGGACGGCGTCCTTTCTGAGTTCTTTGTAAGACCATGAGCACGTAGAAAGGAGGCACAAGCATCGCTTGAGCTTCAGAATGAAAGAATTCGGCCAGTTTTCGGCACGTATAGTATTATTTCTACTCTAAACGGGGCTGTACTACGGGACGCAGAAAGGACGCCGTCCAATGTAAAGGGGGCTTTAGTCTTCCGTTTGAACTTTTTAAATTTGATTTTCTTTAACACACAAGTACCTTCAATATTTTAATGTAAACATCCATGTTATGAGACTTACGTGATAACTTCGTAGTCAAATTCCCATTTGGAGATGGATGATACGAAACATTCAAGATGACAAAACTTTAAAAATTTGCAATTATCTTAATGAGATATGTCAGCGAAAGCATTTGCCCGTGGTCTAGGTCGAGCTGAAGGGATAATTTTCATGTTTCAAATCTACTTTTCAAATGTAATTTTGTAATACTCCAGTTGAATCTGTTGTTGCTCTCTTTCTCTTCCACCTTGATGATTTTAGGAAGCATAATCATAGTAAAATGTTTAAAACTTAGCGTAATTCACTTGCATGGATTTGAAATTGTGCTTTTCCCTATTCTTACCACATTGGTAAAAAAAAAAAAAAAACGTTGGGAGCTGCAACGAAAACGTATCAATCTTCGAGGAAGCTGCACGAGGAGTGCAACATCTGCACTGATACAGGAAGGGCACTGTGCGGTCACTTTTCAACCGAAAAACTTAATTTCCCATCGTGACACGGCACCCGCTGTAGACATACTCGTCGTAGCCCGTAGCTACTTACGATGTGAAAAAGTCGTACGGAAAATCGTATACGATTTCATCGTACGGCGCCCGTGGCATATGTAATCTAGGTTTTAGTTTAATTTTCATCAATCTTTTATCATGGTTTCGGGAAAGGGAAAATAAAACACCCTCATTAAAAGATTAAAATTTCTTAAATTATAGTACAGTTATCTAGTATGACACTTGGTGAAAATGGTGATTTAATACATAATGGGCATGAAACCGCATTCGATAAAATCCATTGTTGACATTCATATTCTACCCTTTCTGTTTTTTAATCGAAATTGAAAACATTTGGAAAAGATAACTCAAGATCATGTATGATAATTTATCATAAGAGTGGACCACACTAAGAATGTGACCCGAAGATGTGACTTATGCCCCGGCGTCGCGATATATAACACAGATTTTACGGTTTATCGGGGATTTAACGGTTTACTATAAATATAATAACGATTTACTGTAAATATAATCAGGTCTTTTCAAAATTACCTGGTTGTTTAAAAAAATCGTGTTGTGTGCGAAGGAGAAAGGATTCATTTTCCCACCAATTGATAACAGTGGCGGCCCCACGCACACTGAATATAGTAATTTAATATGTAAAATAAGCAGAAGGTCTCGGAACGGCTTTACCCATCTGATCTGTGAATTATAGTATTAAGACATTTCTTATCAGTTTAATGTATCTCCAGTGCTATTACTATGTAATGCGCCCCATAAGTAATACGTTCGAAGAGTACATAGGACCGAAGGCACACCATCGGTCACTCCAAACTTCAATCCGTGGATTTTTCTTCGGGTGTGTATGGAATCGGCGTTTTCATTTTAACCAGAGTCACGTTAAGATAAAAGATGAATTTGAAAATTTTGAAATTGCTTTAAAAACTTTCTCTACACTGTTTGGTGATTGTTTTTGTCAATTAATTTTTCAGCATTTCGCAATTTTTCTAATTACAAAAAAACTTTTTCTTTATATCCGATTTTCTTATTGATTTATTTCACAGAAGACGCTGCACCTGGATTCCTTAAACAAGCCCCAGCCCATGGACACACAATGTTAATTGTAATATATCGATACATCAATATATAATATAATGGTTAAAATAACAAGAAAAATTCTGAAAAGTCACACATTATAATTTGAATATTTTTACTCTCAATAATATTTGTACTAAATGTTTTCTGGCATAAAGGCTCTTCAGAGTTATTGCAACTAGATAATACTTGTATAGTCCTGCAAGGGCTACGCTATTGGTAAAAATGTCTTTATGGGCTCATTCCCAAATGATATAATCATCGTTAATTTTGGTCGTCATGCTTTTCAAGTTTATAACGAACATTTGACAGCAACGTAAAAAAAAAGAATCATCGAGGATTTCTTATTTAAAGTTCGTCTTGTTTTATAAATTGTGGGTATTAACTTAACCGCTGCGCAGAATTGTCGCGTGTGAAGCTGCATTATACAAGATAGCAACGGGTGAATTTCAAAGTGGGCTCAATGGCCCATTCCTTCCTCCTTTTTAATAGGAAAACCGTTTCCCGCCTACTCAAAAAGGACAAAAAAAAAGTCACATTTAGGCTCTCAGAGGACTGGGGGTACTTTTTGCGTATATATAGCCCCTTTGCTTTTCCACCCTTTTCAATGCAGTGTACGCTAAATAAGACGGCGGAAGTTTCTTAGTACGGGTTTTACATACACATTGTCACAAGACGCAGGAAATCAGTTAGGTCCATCGGCGTGAAGACGATATATACTGTACGTATTATTAGCGCGGTGATATCACGTGCAACTCATGAAAAATGCAAATTACACTTTGCCTAGTACGTCGCAAGAATTAAGCAATTAATATGATTTGAAGATGAAGTTTGCATATTATCAAGGCAATGATCTCGTGTGAAAATATTATGTAAAACTTAAATTATAGTTTTTCTCCACTTCAGTGGTAATTAATGTCAAAAGATTGCGTCATGTTTCATTGGGCGGGGGTGATATCTGAAAATAACTTCTACGATAAAAGTGCTCTCGTTTTGATGATATTGATTGTATCCATAGCCCCACAAATCTAACGCACATTGTATTTGTAGGTGCTTTACCCGTTGATTAAAAAAAAACTTCATTACTGCATAGTTGACATATTACTGCAAAAGCAGTGTTATTGCGTGGGACATAAATTCTAGAAAATTGTCAAGCTAAGATGTATGCGTAATTATACATGTATGTTATCTATTTTATGCACCTGGCGAAACGGTTTTTTCAAGCACTTATCACTGTGTAGGCCAAAAAGCTTGGGATCACGTGCTTGGTATATAAAAAAGAAACAACACTTAATTTACACGTTGTCAACATATCTGAAGGTACGATCACACGTTTGTCCGTCTGCTGGCAGATCGTGTATCCTATGTATCATATGAAAATAACGCGGCCAACAAATGTAACGGTTAGATTGCAGGTCAGATATTAAGCTGGCCATGTTAGATAGCACGTGTACATGCACCTAATTTCGTGCATGTTAACTTGGGGCGTTTGTCAACAAACAAGACGGCGTAATCATAGGCTGTAGAAATTTTAAATTGTAGAAATTGATATATACAGTGTGCATCTGAATAGATTAAAAAGGAAAATGGTTGGTTGAGTCCAGGAGGAAAACGGTTTATGACCTTAAAAAAAATCAAGCATATTTTGAATTCCCAAACGGAGAAAAATTTTGGGTCTTTCCAATAAGTCGATTTTTCGTCCAAGCGCAACGATTAAAGAGATAACTGCACAATATGGTAGTCGGAAGGTTTTTTTCTCCTATACACAAAAAGGGGAAAAACGGAGGAAATTTACGGACATTTGAAGTCATTTGATCTAAGAGGAATCTTTTCACCATTTTACCATTCTTTTCTCTGTTTA